TTCTACAGCCAATAATCGTCATACAGAATATCAGTCGTACACATCAATTCCATTTTAGATGAACATTAATTTGGTATATAATAAATTTTTATATCATTTGTAGTTTCAGCTCTACCCCCCCCAGGAAAAATATTATTTCCAACCGTGTACATATCAATTTTGTTTGTTACATCAACTCAAAACTTTTCTTCCAATGTCAATTATATTGATGAAAAAGATTTTAGCAAATTGATTTTTCATTCTCTGTGTGAAAGTCAATCATATGATTATCTTATCATTCATAGTTTCCAATAGAAAGAATAAATGAACTGAAATAGCATTAGAATTCTAGATTTATTAGATGATCTTTGATCAATTTATTTGATCAAAATCTTTATTTGAAAGTGATGAAAATTAATAAACAAATCTATTGGCAAATAAATAATCATCTAACATGTGAATATTTATCAATAAAATAAATTCCAAACTTTGTTAGAATAATATTGACATAAATGAACAAAACTTTCGTTATCATTATTCATTTATTATCTTATCTTTCTCTCGATAATTAAATTGAAGTTTCATTCGAAATGAATGAAATAAATAGATAGAAATTTTTTTTTGACTATCTGTGTTGTGGAAAATCCCTGTCAATATAATGTTTTAATATTACTGTTTTGTTCAATTTAAATTTATTTCAAGTTGAAACATTGCTATGATTGTGTCAATTGATTCTCTAATAGTTTTTGAAATTAGACTTTTGGTATTACGTGAATTGTAATAGGATAGGCATAGAATTAATGTTTCTCTTTCGTTATCTAGCTCATTATTTTGTTGGATAGATTAGATAATTTAGATCGTAATATTACACCTTGTCGAATCTTGTAAATAAATCTCTGTTTTACTTTTTGCTGATATAATTGTCAAACAGTCAATAAATGTTTTCGAAAACTTTTGTTTCAAAGTAAACTCTAATAACTTGAACAAGTCAATCTCGTTATGAAGGGAAGATTGTGAATTTAAATGATCTCATATCTCATTGTAGAATTCTTCGTAGTTGGATGAATATGAAATATCTATAGATTTATAAGTTAACTGATGAGATAATATTTTCCTTTTTATTAAACGAAAATCTTTTTTATATTTGACCATACCAATAAATATTTTGAAGAATATTCTTTAATAAGCTCTTAGGAAGGAATATTTGAATAGTAAAATCTTTCACCATTTCAATTCTTTATTATTATGAACAACAAGAAGATTTTAACTTTTTATTTATGAACAGGAGTCCTTATATTTTATTAAATAGTTCATTCATTGCTAATGTTAGATGATAAAAATCAGTTTTTTCTTTCTTCAATATCTGAGAAAGGAAATTTATTTTCCTTTCTGTTTTAAGTATAGAAACATTTTCATGGTTCCTATGAACATACAGTTCATAGTATCTATTGCAGAGAAAAAAACTGATCAGATGAAGTACATATGGTAGTCTTAGTCTTTTTTTCTAGTGATTGGTCAAAATTATTCATTTAAATTGTGATTACTTGACCAGTTTTATTTCTATTTAATTCATCAAAAACGTTTTCTCGTACGAAGATAGATAATACAAAACAAATCCTTTTTATTTGACATAGAATGAAGAACCCTAGAGTCGAGTTACACGTAATTATAGTAGATTCACATTAGAACACAACACATTATTTGAAGCATACGTTACCTTCTGTCTTCTCGCCGTATACCTGACTGAAAATTGATGTTCTTTATTTTTCCATTGAATTATGGAATAATAAATTTCAATAAAAAAGATCTAATAATAACATATAAACTGATTATTAAATTTAAATTTTAAATTAAAAGTATGATTAATAAAGAAAAAAAAAGAAAAATGAAAAGATAAAAACAATTTACTTACAAAACTCAATTTTTCTCGTTGTGACAGATTTAGATAAGTAGAAAACGACGTCACTTTATCTTAAAAAGTATGATAAATATATTTAAACTGCAAAGCAAAAATAAATACTTTAATCTCATCGGATTTGTTCGATTTGGACTTGTTTGCACTAAGTGGGACAGAATCTGATAATGACAATTTTACTCGATAACTACAAAAAGAGATTCTTTTATCTGTTTATATTATAATGAATAAAACAATAGATTTTTACCATTAAAAAGTAAAAACTTATCGTTTTAACGCTTCGATCATAGTTCTTAGACATTTATATAGCGCGTTTTAATTCTGTTAAAGATTCAATAACAAAATGTACCGATGACAAACTTTTCTCTTTTTGAGATGTATTGACTTTTTATAATAGAACTGCGAAAAACAGCAATTTTCTTTTGATTCAGGTTTCTTTTTAATTAACCGGTGAATACATTTCGAAATGAATAGTAGTATAATAAACACCGAATGCATAATTATGTATTACGAGACGTTTCGTACAATATCTTAGTACATCCTAAGTCAGAAATAATACAAGAAAGCTGTACAGTTTGACGTACACTTAAATAGAACAAAAACACAGAACGCAAAAGAAAAAGAAAATCATGTGTAGAACGTTCTACCAAGAAATTTAAATTTCAAACTAAAAGTGTGTGTCACTAGCATTCATCCAAAGATCTTCAACTGAAAGCTTTTTTAAGAGTAGACATTCTTCCCCGTTTTCTTCTCCACTAAGTCCATAAGCTTTTGAAGTCGTTTGATTCCAGTGCTAGAATTTTATGATTCCAATCATTCTGGTGGTTTAAGTTAAATGAATGTTCAGCAATTTTGGAGAAACCTCTTCCTTGGAATGGTTTTAAATGTTCATCTTTTCGCACGTTAACTCCTCTTCCAGTCTGTCCGACATAACAACCGTTACAGTCTTTACAGTCATACTGGTACACCACTTTCTTCAAGTCCTTCTCGGCCCTAAATGTTCTGCTAAATAAACTTGAAATTCGTGTTTGAGCAGCAAATCCAAAGATAACTTTTTTAACCGGATTTTTTAGAATACTCTTCACTTTGTTAGCCAAAATTAACGAGCATTCACCATAGTAAGGCATTGAAACGTATACCTTCTTTACAAGAGGATTAGGAGGACGTTTTTCAATATTTTTACCTTATCTCACACCTCTGATGGTCTTTTTAATTACATTCAAAGGGTATCCATTCGCTGTGAAAATTCTTTCGTAGTAATCTAGCTGCTGTTGGAACAGAACGTCTGATGAACAGATACGTTTAGCACGAATACATAAAAGGGTAGCCATTCGCTGTGAAAATTCTTTCGTAGTAATCTAGCTGCATATTCGTTGTTGTCGCATATTCGTAGTTGTCGGGCTGAATGTGTTAAATACGTAGACAAATCCTGTCGTCATCTAATCGAAATCTTTGTACGTAAATCTAAGTGCTATCTGGAAAGTTCTGGTAAAACATCTATATGAAGATAAACGCTTTGTATCGCAGTCAAGAATAACAGAATTTACGATTTACGATTGGTTTATTTGTTTTTTTTGAAAAAATGTACCACATTACACTTTTGGGTTATGACGTTACTTTCTACGTATTTAACATGTTCAGCTCGACAATTAGCTTCGTAGACGAGACCAGATGTTAAACAGATGAGAACTTTGTTTTTGTTACTGAAACCGAACTAGAATTCTAAATAATTCTAACATTTTTCTTTGGCAGTGATTGGCATTTAGCCAAGCCTTCTTTAAAGTTTTTTGGATACAGAACAGATATATTTTCTTGCTGCTGTTGGGGTATGTAGTATGTACCATAGACGAAAGTTGTGATATAGGAATATGAAAAGAGTGTGAAATACTGATTTTAAATATCGTAAAAACATATTGTACTTGCTCTAATTTAAATAAAAATTCTTTTGAAAAGGGATGAATTATTTTTGCAAAATATTGTAAACTACGGTACTCTACGAGAGTATAAGAATACCGGTGTAACTCATGAACCAGAATAGCTACTTCAAATTTTGTGAGTTACTTTCAGAAACAGAAGAGAGCTGTGTTACATTTTGATAAACAAAGTTTGTGGACCTTGGCCGAAGTTACAAGAAAATTTTCAAGAACCTTGGCTAAAATAATAAATAAGAATCTTGCAAGAAACTTCATAAGAAAGTCGATCGATGTGCATATACAAAGAAAGAAAAAAAGATGGCCACTTGTTCCAAAGTAGAACAGAGAAGAGAAAAGAGCGATTATGCGTCGGCATACGAGGAGTTACAGTCATTTATTCACTCATCTTATTTGACCGATCCCTAATCTGTGTTATGGAGTGATGCAGAAAAACAAAATCAAATAACATTTTACTTTAAAAGAAATAACTGTGTGCAGCGTATGTTTGCATTCACTTGAGATATGCATACTTCACATCAAAATATGAAATAATATGAAGAGCAACAGTTTTTGCTGAAATAGGAGAAGAAATGCATATTTGTAAGAAATTTAAAATCATTCAGATTTTTATTTCTCGTTAGTTACCGATCATATTGCGTATGATAAGTTCGTCCTCTACTAAATTTTCTTGTCTGGCCTTTCTTTCTTTTTCAGATACCGTGCACAAATGGACTTTAGCGAGCTGCTCAATGATAACATCGACTATGATATAGCCGACGATGAAACATTCAATGATCTGTTTGATTCATTTCTTGATAATGATGATGAACAGACGGCAAATCCGATCGATTTAAATATATTATCAGCACTAAATCCATCTGTATTGTCCAATATCAATCAGCAATATACTGCATCAACTTCATTTGGCGATTTTATTCAAAATTATTTCAAAACATCGAAAGAATTTCAACAACAATCATTAATTAATTTATCATTAGATAATTCGGAAACATTAATAACGAATACTCAATCAGGAATTAAAGAACTATATGTCGGCAATATTCCATTACGTTCAACAGAAATGGAAGTGACGAATTTCTTCTTTAATCTTGGCTACAAGGATATTTATCAGTTTATAATGAAAAAAAATCAACGCTATACCTGGTATGGTTTTGCGAAATGTAGGTCCTTTAGAGTATAGTTCATTGAACTAATAACATCAACATTTTTTTATCGTAGAATATACAGAAATTATTGATAATTTATACTTTGTGTTAATATTTTAGTTCATTCATCAAAAACGCCTGAAGACGTTTTATTTGATTTTCAAGAAAATTCATCAAAATTCATATTTCAGAATTCACAACTGCGTATTAGTACACCACATAGCCCCAAAAAGTCGTCAATCTTGCCAGTAGAAAATGATGACGAACGAACACTTGAATATCCAATTGAAAATATTCGATTTGGAACATTAATTACTGCCTCAGCGATAAAGAACATTGTTGACATGAATCGAGAGAATATACTGTGCGATTGTGGATGCATTGATTCCTCTCTACTTTCACAAAATGATAATCAAAAGTTATGTTATTTTGAAATCGATCAAAAAGCAAAAAAGATATCAATTGTTATCAAACGTTCGTCAGTTTCATGTGTTGCTCAAACGTTGCATGAAATACATGAAATACGTTTTGAATGGAATTTTCGTGCTTTAAAACATGACCGAATATCTCCAGTTTTTATGTGTAATATTCATCAATTAAACGAAAAATATAAGCGAATAGTTGATCCATACGTCTTTCTACTCCTTGAAATTAGACGTCCACCAATCATTATACACGTTAAACATTTTCCACTAACTCTTCGTCGAGATGAAACACGTTTACCGGGCAGTTTATTGATTGGACAATCCAATGCTTGGCTATTTCAAATTAAAGGATCAAACATGCAAGGACTAGTATATAATGACTTAATTAATCATTACAGTAATATGTTTCGTTATCTTTCACGTCACAATCTCTGTCCAAGTAAATTTACACAAAACAACATAAAATATTTAGTATCATCGCAAGAAGCTAGTGAACGACTCAAAAAAGTCATATTATTATCGAATGAAAATTGGATCAATGATCACAAAATTTTATTCAATAATTTTATCAATATTCGATGGCCAAAATTTAGTTTTGAAATTAAATTTGAATTAATGAAATTAATTTCAAAACATCTAATTACAGCTCATGACCTCGTTGTCGACGAAAATTTATTATAAATTATATTTATTAGAAAATATATTATTAAGATTATCAATGAATACATTTATGGCCGCTACAGGTAAATGTTCGGATTTTCATACGCAAATGAAAATTTTTTGCATCTAACATCACCTTTTTTTAATATAAACATCCACCATATGAAAAGATTCATGTGAGCAAAAAATTCAAAAATTTACTGTAACTGTGTTTCCGAGGCAACGATAAAGCATAAATATAGATAAACTGTTTAATATCGAAACTGTTCTGCCAGACGTCATGTCCATAACGGACATGAAAAATTTCTCACTTTTTGATACACCGACTTCAAGAGAGAATCTGCGAGAAAACCGACCTGCAAAGGGAATAGTGGCCGGAGCTAAATTTCTTTTTCTCTTAGTACTCTAGTTCGAAAGAGTTCATCGAAAAAGTAAGAAATCCATGATATCTCGCCTTCGTATACGAAGGCGAGATATCATGGATTTCTTACTTTTTCGATGAACTCTTTCGAACTAGAGTACTAAGAGAAAAAGAAATTTAGCTCCGGCCACTATTCCCTTTGCAGGTCGGTTTTCTCGCGGACCCTCTCTTAATGCAGAGTTTCCTTCCCTGGAATAGTAATAAGGGTTTAACGAAAACGTGGGTCTTCAATTCTGCGCTCACAAGTACAAGAATCTTAAAGTCGATGAACTCGATACAGACGGTTTTTCTTTCCTTCCTATATATGCCTAACGTTTGATTATGGAAGGAGACCAATGAATAACATTATACTGTTTTTTTTTAAACAGTTTTCCTTTTATTCACGAAATAATGGTAAAATAAAAATAAAAAAAATAAAAGTACAACTACCAGAGAAAAACACTTATTCGGCAATTCGGGAAATTCCATTGTATGCCGGATTCTAGATGAACATGCTGGAACAAAATGAGTATATAGAGAAGAGTGATTATACTAGTGTTGATGAAGAGAGAGAGAGAGAATTGGGAATCGAATTTTGAGATCGGCTGTATCCATGTGACGTCCTGCTCATAAAGGTTTAGTACATCATGACTGATTAAATCTTTCAGTAGTATCAATTGGAGGGTGGTTGTATATACTCCTATCATGACCTGCTTAGCCAGTGCTCGGTTAGATTCATGTTTCAAAAGTATGTGCTTATACTGTTTTCTTTCCCTACTTTCACTTTCATTAGAGAATGAAAGAAAGTTTGATTTCATATTCTTTGATAGTGTATCGATACATTTGAGGCAACATGTGAAAAGGTGAGCCATAAGAGCGAAAAAGACTAAACGCAAGGGAATAATCCTAAAACAGACGCTATACTCAATAACAGGCTACTTGAGTTATGACTTCTTTCTTACATGTGTCTTTCACAACTTTCGCGACTTTTTTGAAACGATTAACGCATATACAGATAGAAAAGAAAATGCGTATATGACTTGAATGAAAGTGAAAGTTTCGTTATTCATTCTCCTTTCATTCAAATGAAATACTACTATATATGGATAACAAAAGAGAAGAAATTTTGTGTGACGTTATACAAAGAGAACGGAAGTATAACGTTAGTCGTTCATCTCATCTCTAAGCGAGCAGCACAGGAGCACATCTATTTCTTACAAGAAGTTTTTTCTCTTGTAGATAAAATCACTGAGTTAGCATTTGAATGGAAAAACTCTTGTGTCAATGTCGATGACGCAGAAGAAGAACATGAAGTTGAACAAGTACAACTACCTCAACAAGAACAAGAATCAACGGTCGAAACTAGTGATCAACCGATACCAACAATAATTCTAAAATCCACTTCGGGTGATATAATTCCCAGTTCAACAACTTTCTGTTTACCAATTGAGGAAAAAGGTGTAAAGAGACTGTTGAACCGTGTGATCACACAAACACAAAATCGTCGTTTAGGAGCCCTTAGCCGTCTGCTGTTATTGGCATTGAAAGAATTGAAAATGAAGCATGAATTGCGTATAACAAGGAGTGGTATTTTTGTCACAAAACATGAACTGAAGACGTTGAATATTGATTCATATTCTATTCGAAAAATCTACATAACACCGTGTAATATTTTGTACGAAGGACCGTATCGAGAGGAGAAAAATTTAGTTACTCGAAATTTTAAAGACGTACAAGACTATTTTCTCTGAATAAGCTTTCGGGATGAAGATTATCGAAAACTGACGAATGCCAGTGATAGTATGATTAATCTCTATGAATATATCAAAAGTGTTCTAATTCGTGGAATAATTATATGTGATCGACGCTATGAATTTTTAGCATTTTCAAGTAGTCAGTTACGTGATCATTCGACGTGGATGTTTGCAACAAATGCTCGTTCGAATCGTACAAATGCATTTATAACTGCAACAGATATTCGACGATGGATGGGTAATTTCAGTGAAAGTAGACCAGTGTCAAAATATGCAGCAAGATTAGGTCAAAGTTTTTCCACTACCGTCGAAGGAGTTGAAATTGAAAAAGGTTCGTTTCACAGAATAGAAGACGAAAAATCTCGAAATGGTGATTATTTCACGGATGGCATTGGTATTTCATCATTGAGATTAAATAAAGAGCTTGCGGTACAGCTCAAATTAGATCGCGTACCTTCGGCATTTCAGATTCGATTTGCTGGAAGTAAAGGTAAAGAATTGGATTTTACCATCAGACTTCTCATGATTGATTAGATGCTTGATGTTTATTTTTTTAGGCATGATCTGTCTTGATGTTGCTAATAAAATTCCAGAAAATAGCGGCATCGATCTTTTAATTCGTCCTAGTATGGAAAAATTTAGTTCATTAAATCAATCAATCGGAATTGTTCGTTCATCAGCGTCACCGTCTCCAGCATTTTTGAATCGTCAAATAATTTTGCTATTAAGTTCATTAGGAGTTAGTAACCATATATTCTATGAAATACAAGAAAATATGCTTAAGAAAATTAGTAACATTACAAAAAATCCATCTGCTGCACAAGAACTCCTCCGAGAATTTATAGAATCAGGTTCAAACAGTGGTTGTCACTCGTTCATGATTGAATGCTTCAAACGATTCGGCACAAAAATTGATCCATTCTTAAAACAAATGGTGATCTGTTTTCAGGCGTTTCTATTGAAAGAATTACGAACAAAAGCTCGAATTTTTGTCAAAGATGGAGCTTGTTTATTAGGGGTGATCGACGAGACTCGTACTCTAAACTATGGACAAATATTTATCCAAATTGAAGCTCATAAAAAATCGCAAAGTCGGATAATCCAAGGACAAGTTATTGTCACAAAAAATCCTTGTTTTCATCCAGGTATGTCGCTACAGAGTACTAGACTATTCCGCAACATCATACAATACTATAAAAACATTTAGAAATACTTTTTGCATTTCTACGATGAATGAATGTGGGAAGCTATCACAACGATCTTTCTACACATCATTCTTTTTTGTAAAATGGTTTACTTGTATTTCAGGTGATATCCGTTTACTAACTGCTGTTGACGTACCGGCATTACATCAATTAAAAAATGTGATTGTTTTCCCTATGAAGGGTTATCAACCTCACACATCTGAAATTAGTGGTTCGGATTTGGATGGTGATTGCTACTTTGTATCGTGGGATAAACAATTATTGTTCAGTTCGAATGAGAGACCGTTGAATTATCATGATCAAGGTCTTGAAGCACAGCAACAAGCTTTACTTAATCCAGAAGTTCAAATAACCATCAATGACGTCTGCGAATTTTTTGGAGAGTACATAGCAGCCGATAATCTTGGTCTTATAGCCAACAGTCATTTATCATTTGCCGATCAATTACCGGAGAGAGCACGAGCGGAAAAATGTATTCAATTAGCGCATATGCATTCAATTGCCGTTGATTTTGCTAAGAATGGTATTAGAGCGCCAAGATTAACAAAAGAACTACGACCCGTTACGTATCCACATTATATGGAGAAAAATGATAAACCTCAATATATATCGACAACAATTCTCGGTCAGTTGTACGATCGAGTACAAGATCATCAACGTGATTTGAATGAAGAAAATTATGAACAATATAATAATTTAATAAATACCTTTCCATATGAAAAATTCCATATCGATGGTAAAGACGATTATTTAGAAGACGCATATATCATAAAACAAGAATATGATCGTGAACTAAGACGAATTATGAGACAGTATGGTATTAAGCGAGAAAGTGAGCTTATAAGTGGATACATTTTAAGATTAATGAACAAAAAATACAATAAAGAATCCAAAATGTTTGAATTGCGACAAGAGATTAGTCATGCCGTTAGATTTGTACGGGATAAATATATAAAATTATTTTGGAATGATTTTTATAATCGTGAACAAATCGAACAAGAAGTTTGCGAAAATAAAACTGAAAATTCCCAAGACCTATTGAAACGAATTACATGGAAAAATCAGCTAGATTTGGCAAAAATAAACAATATTGTTTCTGACAATACAAAGGATGAAATGGATGATGAAATCTATAAAAAAGCATCAGCTTGGTTTTCTGCTACTTATGACGAGCAAATGAACTCACGAGAAAATCGACAAAAGAAAAAACAGAAACCAGAACATTTTGGCAACGATAAACGAAGGGATTTGTTCAGTTTTTGCTGGACAGTTTATCCTATTCTATTACAAATATTCGATTTTAATAATAGAAAACAAAATAACAATTTCTGATAAGGAGATTTATTAACGAAGTTAAGTTTAGCAGATAAAATTCCAGAAATTCAATTTACTACATTTCACCGCAAAAAATACAAAAAGCCGTTTTTCAAGCTGAATTTTTAATAAAGTTAGATCAACTGGTTTAAAATTAAAAACATTTAGATGTGATTTTTCTATGACTAAATTAAGATATCTTGGACCTGAAATTGCACCTGCAGAAGTTAAATCAGATCCAAAAACAACGTCAGCTGTTAATAATTACTGAATACTTTTATCACGTGTTGAAGTTGAACGTTTCCTTGCCTAACTAATTATTGCTCTTGTTAATATTTTTGAATTTTTGCTGGAAAGATTTTCCGATAGAATTGTATTTCTCATAGGATGATCAGTTGGCAATATTCTAAAAATTTGTTTGTGCGACAGAAATTGAAAAGAACGAGAATAAGAGTAGAAACGAGTGATAAGAACCGATGATAATGCAGATGTTGATGATGAATCAGATTTTAGAAAATTCTATGATTCATTACAGTAATCTAGTTTAAATCCAATGTCTTGAGCTATGTTCCTTGTAATCTGAATGACATCTTCCTGTTTATAATATGGCACATTCATCAGTCTGACATTATATCGTTCAGATTCATCCAAACCATTGTCAACATCCGAGATCTGGCATCATCTTGGAGAAACTTCTTGAATGTTTGTCGATTTTGGATATTTTCTATCGTATTTACCATATCGTCCAGATGTTCATGTGGATTCAATTTCTCTGGTGATATTTTCTTTTCTACTTGCTGTTGAGTTGGTAATGTTGATACTCCAAGAATTACGCGTAATGTAAGCGTAAAATGAAATTTACTTTTCAGTTTATCATATACCATCCAAAAAAGGACCTCAAAGTGTACAAGAATATGGGGATTTTAGTTTTATCTGATATTTTTTCATGCCGAAAAATCGAAAAAACTCAAAGGATCTCAAAAACCGAAAAAATCGACCTCTGTCGTAAAATCGAGTTGTTTATAAAGATAAGTTGTATTATAAGATGAAAGGTTTCAACTATATTTTTCTGAATTAGTGTTTTAAAACTGGTTTAGAAAAAGATATTCAGTTCATTTTAGAGGTAAACACTCATCCGCAATGGACGGTGTATATATTTTCTAAATAACTGCAGGATTTTGCAAGACCTAATGGAGTATTTACTTTAGTTGTTTTTTTGGCTTTTTTGTGGAAAAAATCTTGAAGATCTTCTATTCAGGCATATCGAGCATTACTGCACTAACGTGTGCATAATAGCCGCTTGCACCAGCTTTACAGTCACAAGTAGCTTGTTGAATTAATAGTTGATCCCTGTTAGTGGTATATTAACGTGAAGCATATTCACTAAACATTGAATGACATATGAGTACATTTACTGTATAAATATTATTCTGTTTTTCAATAAATATACGCCAACATAACCTTCATCGTGTAAAGAAAATGCTTTTTATTATTGAATTTGAGGAAACTGGATTACTCTTTTCTATATATTACTCAATATTACTATAGGAAATGTCTGTCTGGATGTGCTTTTACACCGCTCATTTTTGCTTTGAAATAAAAACTGAGTAATGAGAAGGACTCTTCAAAATCTTTGCTCCTAAGATGAGTCGTAATGTAGTTGAACAGAACGAATACGTTTAATGTGAAGTATACGACATCTTCGTTCCTTTCATTCCATTATTATGTCTCATTACAAAAAATCAATTATTCATATAACTCATTTCCGTTTGTTCTCATTCGGAAAAGACAAACTATATTATCACTAATTTATGAGTGAGTGTGGGTGACAGTACCGTGAACAAGACAAATGATCACTAACCCCCCCTCACATTAGAAGCCCACCCCATAATAGAAGTCCACCCGCATTAGAAGCCCAATCTGGCAAGAAATTTTTTGAAAATTGCCCCTGTTCCCATAGAGTACTTTTTGAGAAAATTTTGCCTTTCTGGCGGGACATAATAGAGCTGCTAACCGGGCTTCTAATGTGGACGGGGGTTTATAACAGCTTTCGACTAAACGTAACAATGAGCGTAATATGGTCAATTTCCAACAAGAACGAATAAGGAAATATAACAAAACCAGTTAAGCTATGTAGAGAATAAGTCAATTTAAATATATCAGTGTTGGAGTTATAATAGAAACAAAGAAAGGAAACGCCTTTCAATGTGGCGTGAAAAAGACAAATGATAAAATGAAACATAGTTTGCTATTATTAATATCAAAAAAGGGAATTGTAAACACACTCTTCGAAAAAGCAAAGAGGAGACGTTTGGGCTTCTTACTTCGAGTTCTACTGGAATCAGATATCTCATATAGAACTAAAATATTGAAGAACTCATTTTCAGTCCTCTCAACGTCACATATTTTACCGTAAAAATCAAGTATGCGCATGATTTCAAGTAGGTGAAGCTCGTTCTTCGGAAAGTTCAACTATTTGCTACAAGAAAGAGCGTCCATAATTGTTATGGTGACCAATCTCGAATATTTGATTTCTTTTATTTTGATTCAAAAGTAGAATATTGCAAAACTCCTACTGTACATTTTTTGAAGAAAAATAATAAATAAAAAGGAGTTTATTCATGCCCTGTGAGTGAGTAACATACCGAGCAGAAAGAAACAAAATTCATATAATCGAGCTATACTCCCCAAACACAAAGGTACAGATAACGTCATTTTTATGATAATCCATAAAATAACTTGTCGAAATTGAATGGTTCCTTGCGGTAGTATTTACAGGCATTCTGAACTGTTTTTTACCAATTTTGAGAGCTTCAGGTTATCAGTATTCATTGCATTCTTCTGAACACGCTGGTTTCTATACATCCTGTTCGTACAACTTTCAATACAACTTTTTTTGAATCAACTAAGCTCAGAAGAGTCTATGAAACGACGCCTTTTCTTCCAGAATATCTTGTAAACGTTGCTGAACGGATTCAAGTGATCAATAATTCTAATTCTTGCGTGGTTCGTAAAGGTGAGAAAATCAAAGAAATTTTCCAAAAGCGGACTCTGCACAGACTCAGTAAACGCTGGGGGATAAGATGTAGGTCGCAGATTTTTTCTAGGTACACTTTCATTTTTTTACTAATTTTATCAAAAAAAATTACGAGTTTTTTATATCCATATCAATGTGAATAACATGCTATGTGAGATATGTAAACAGTTGAGTTTCTGGATGTTCTAATTTTGTCGATTTACCGTTTTACTCAGTCGACTTTTCAATCTTCCCGAAGGGTAGTTGGTCTCTAGTTCTTTCTTCTAGACGCTACTTTCTACTTCGACTCAGCCACTCGTTCTCTGCTACCACCAAAAAACCTAATAGGGTTTTTTGACATGGGAATTTGGGAAAAATACCATTCGAGAGTACAAGAGCTGCAGATGAAACAGTTGCAGTTATTTTTTCGATATGTTTTAGTTATTAAGCAATGAATCTCAAAAGTTGAGCATATTTTCAATAACTTTTCTATAAGATAATTAATCGTCACGTGATACTTCGTATACATTCGGTATGAATAGCCTAGAGTGGTTCATTAAGCAGTCACATGCTACTTATCAGTCTATACTTCTGTATAGTTTGATGCATTTATAGTCTAAGAGATTATTATCGATAGAATGCATTATATTTTTACTACTAGAGCAGTGCAGTGTTCGAATCGTATTTAATGGATTCAAACGGTATCTAAAACGTTTCTAAGATGCGTTTCACTCGGTCGGGTTTCCAGTCTATCCTGGATAGTTGGCATCGAGTGCTTTCTTTCCAGACCGTTGTTTTCGTTCGAGTCAGATACTCGTTCTGGGGTATAGATGATCGTAGAGATTCGGGAAAAGATGTACTACATCTGTAGATGATGCATGTGAAGTTAATTTTTCTGTCTATACTTTATTTCACCTATGACATAGTGCTAGAAGATAAGCATATCTTCTCGTAGAACTTTGGCGTTTTCTGTATGAAATAAATAATCGTCACGTAATACTTGCTGGTGTATATGCTCTATGCAGCACATATTTATACATAAATAACGCATGCGGAGTCTATTTAGTACATTCTGCTATATCTCTCAATAATGAATCAGATGATATAATATCATATTCTGACATAGCCTGGCTTGTGGATGATCATTTTAAAAAAAAGAGGACAGACGAGAATGTTCCGAAGAAAAGCGGATCTTCCATCAATTTTTGATAGATATTTGCACCGTGACTCTCGGCGGCAAATGGTCTGATGAACAAGGAATATTACGCATCTATCGAAACTCACAGCGTATCGAATCCAGTATAAATGTCATGCACAGGGAAAGTTATTTTTAGTCTAATATTTTTACTAATCAGACAGATGGTGGTCATGCAGTTTGATCAAACAAATAACAGGTAAATAATAGCTTATGGGTGACTATTTTCTCAACGTATTTGAAATTGCAAGATCTGATTGAATAAGATCAAACGAACAATTTCTAACTAGTCGGCAATGGATACGTATTTGTTTTCGCAGCACCCAAATCTCCTGTAGATATATGAAAGAATTTTGTTATCAGAAAAACCATTTTTGTTATGATAAGCAAATGTAGATTGGATGATCAACGACACTATGCAGAGTCGAAAATTATTTTAGCAATACAAGATATAAGGCGCCCGCAATTCAAAGTTTAAGCACTATTTTCTTTTTGATTTTAACAGCCATATTCTGATAGAGGAAATCGAGCTGAATCCGAATACCACATTTATTTTACTTTACGATCTTTCCTTCTACATGAAAATTGTAAAATACTGAGAAGTATCCGAAAATCGGAAAAACCTATACTTCACGCGTTTTGCTTGTTGTTTGTTGAATAAGATCATTCATCGTGTGACAATGTTACCGTCGAATTATTAAGTCGAAGTGAAATCAAGTAATATATTCGTCGAAAGTGGTATGTTAGAATATACTCTGAGAAAAAGAGCAGGATTTGAGGGGTAAAAGTGACTTTTCTCTTCCCACAAGTGGGAACGCTACAAAAAAACGTACGGCAATTGAACAATGCTACCTTATATCATATGCATGTTTTCTTTACCGTTCTTTACTTTACGTTTGCTAATATCGGTTCGAATTGTTTAATCTAACTCATCCACTTGTCGCTTCGTGCCTAAAAACAAAGAATACCATATAATTTTGGTGAATGAGGGTTCAAATACATTTCATTCAGATACATTCATTCTGAAAAAAGGATATTTCTATGGCCGAGCTCTTTCAGAAAAATAAAAAACAATTCTGAGAGTACTTTATGATAAAAGCAAAGTTTTATGGCTACTGGACGGCTATGATAAAATTGCGGAAAATATACCCACACATCTGGATGATTTAATGAAACAGCTACTTAATACTACACATCATATCTTGATATCTTGACCATATGCGATTACCTTATCATACGATGTGAAAATGGAAATACCATGGCTCACCGATGACAATATTGTCAAGTATATAGCGCAGTTTTTTTATCAGATCGAAGATACATTGACAGATGATTCATCCCAAGGCCAAAAGCTTCTAAACTTCTTAAAGCCGAATCCTAGCATTTGGGGTGTTGCACATAACCCGGTGAATCTAGAATTGATTTGTAGTCTTTGGGGTGATATCGATTGGTCAGAAACGAAAACATTGGCCATGACAGCATGGTACGATAAGCTTACAGAGTGGCTATGTCGCCGATACTTGACAAAACAAAATATTGATCATGGAAAAATGAAAGACAAAGCCGTTTATACACAATGTCATAAAGAGTTACAATTCTTAGAAACCTTAGCCTTTAGATGACCTTTCTTTCCAAAGTTATAGAATTCACACGAAAACCCCTAAATTAATTTTTTCCTTATTTCTGTAGCTATGAGCTGCCAATGAACATTTAGGACTTTGCTTGGAAATTCTATAACTTTGCAAAGAACATCGATATTCTAGGAATCATGGAACTTACCCATTATCACCATTATTGCTGTTGAGGGCACAACGTGTCTGATGGCGTAGTGTTGACGTGGCTGCTGCGCATGCATTCATTTGACAAACAAAGAAAGTGTTGTGTGATGTTATTTCAATGAAAACGAAACCTTTTAAGTTACAGAGCTTTTCTTTACCGTAAAATAATTTCTTAATCGACCTATGTATTTTTCATCTCCCTTTGAAGTTTCAAGTGCTAAAAGAGTCGATTTTTCAATCTTTCGCGTAACATGTATGGATTATTGAGTTATCAGTATTGTCAATAACGGTTTATTGCCATACAAGCAGCGTAAATACGACTTTATTCAAGTATTTTATCGAATCTTGAAGACAAATTCAAGGCTATCTGGAATAAATCTTATTAGAGTCTTAAAGAAAGATTGACTCCGTCAACAAAACACCTGATATGCTGACTGTTCGATGTGGGATGCATAGCCTCAATAAAATTTGATCAAAACTTGATAATCAGTATCATGGATAACAACATTCGTTTTTTATGCGATAAAACAGGAAATAAGTATATATCTCAATCGTATTTTTTTTACGTCTTCTATTGTTAACATTTTGAAGTAGAATTTTCACTAGTTTTGCGTTCAATAAAGTCGATGTGACGAAGAAAAGTGAGTTTGACATCAAGAATGATGCCAAGATCTTTGGATTTTGGAGCATGAGAAACAATGTGGCCGTGACATTGAAGGTCAGGTACGATAGGGTGCACTTGGCGATGAAATAACGTTCAAAACGTTTTCGAAACTGATAGACTGTTTCCGCATCCCAGAATAATAGATTAAACGATTGAAAACATCCGTTACAGATTGAAATAGGCTCAAAATCAGAGAGGAAGATGGTGGGTATACCGGAAGAAGAGATAACAATTTTGAGGTCATCCGCAAATAAATGTTTCCAGTAAATATCCGAAAAAAGTGTTTAGCAGATCATAGTGATATACAATAAAAATGACAGGGCCGATACAACTACCGCTTTAAACAGATGCAAGAGCACAGATTTCAATCCCTTGATCTCAATATATCTTTTAGATAGAATCGTAACCATGTAATAAGGTACAGAGGACAATCCAAACGATGAAGTTTGAGCCACAAACCCTTATACCACAGTTGGTTAAAAGCGTTGTGGAAGTATACTCTCCTTTGATTCTCAACGTTTATATTTGAGTATGTTTATACATTGAGTAGGATTCGTTCTGCTGACTTATTTCTTTCTGTGGACTGTTGGGTTTTAAGTGCAAATAGTAGCAATAAATGATTTATTCTAGCTTCTGGAATGTGCATATCCTCAGTCCGATTTAGACGTTTTGGTTATTTATTCATATTTTTATTGATCGTTTATTTATTCAATACCCAATATCGTATATGGAAAAAAAATGGAAAAAGTATTGTGAATGATAATCTAATCCGCGAAGAAATTGCGCTTCCCTATCCTGATAACTATACCCGTTGTTTATTTGATGCTAAACGTGCCTTTTAGAATCTATCTGTTAATTGGTTTCTTGCATTTGGAACAGCACTAATGTGGCACAGAGAAAAATCGTTCGTATCCGATGATATTGATATTGGAATATTTATTGATGATTTAACTCATGATAATAAATCTTCTAAAATCATTCCAACTATGAAACGGTTCAATTTCAAACTACTGTATATCTACGGTAAAATTGACCATGGTCAAGGATGGACATTTACATGTCCTGTATCGAATATATATTTTGGCATATTTGTATTCTATCCTGAACGTATTAATGAGACAGATACATGGTGGTGTGCATCTTACAACGGACGTTGTAATAAACTTCGTTATAAAAAATGTCGATGGCGTTTTCAACCCTTTCAGCTTGAACAAATAACGCTTTATGAACATACGTTTCAGATTGTTCCAATAAGTTTTATTGAAGAAAAATATCAGGGACAAAAATGGAAAATTCCAAAAAAATATGGCTATGCAGAATCGTTGAATCTTTCATCTAATCTTGTCATAGAGTATTGATTTTTTCAGAGATACATGACATGTTATGTCTCCCGTTGCCATCATCTTTCCTTCACTCGCTGTTAGCTGACGTCCAGATTTATTTATACCCATGACTAGCACGACCAAATGGAACATTTACGAAATTCAAAACTGCCCTTAGTTATAAAATTAAGTGAACAGATGCATATATATTTTTAGTCAATTTAGGGATGCTGTCAAAATTTTTGACGTAAGCGGATAAAAGCACCACTTAACTCTACTTTCACCTCACTTGAGGTGAAGTGGAAGTGATTTTGAGGTTTCTATGCACTGAACTAGTGAAGCACGTACAGGGCGCCACAATTAGCACGAAAACGCCCTACCATGCCGACTAGATGATGCCATGTTAAACTTTGACAAACAGCGCCTCTGTCGCTGTATTTAGGATTAACCTTTGACTAATCTGGTCGATCACTAAGACAAGACAAGGAAAAGAAAATCAAAAGAAAAGGAAAGGAAAGCATTTTTATGTGTGATGTTTGATCGATGTCGCATACGTTAACTTCTCTCCTCTTAACAAATATGCAGATCTATACAGAAAAATGCGGACTATCTTTCTAGCATATTTATATCGAGATCTAAGACGCGGCCGATTTCGACTCTTGTCCGACGGTGTCCTTTAATAGGTTTGAAAGAAACCTATTAAATTAAACCTATTAAACCTATTAAACCTTGGTATTCACAACCCAATCTCTCACTTAGCAACGTTTTTGTTCCGATGTTCTTTCCTATCATATTACTTGCTTCATCGTATGACTGAGCTATGATTGTTTTTGTTTCAATGCTATATTTTTTGAAAGACGATAATAAAAATTCTACGATGTCGTCACCGACTTTACTGGGCAATTCATTAGATGCCACTAGTCTTTCTCGTACTTCAAATTTTTCGACATATCGAACAAATACTGAGTATATGTCGTGATTAGCACTGTCCGATGTTGAATCCATCGTAATCGACAGAAACGGAGTTTTGTTTACAGCATCGGTAACTGACGACAAAAAAATAGAAAACAACGATTGTTGCTATGGTACGATTCATGTTTAAGTCCCATATTAATAAAACGAAGCTTTAATAAAAACTAAAACATACCGCGATTCTCTAATGTAAAGATCGTATAAATTTCTAAGCTAAAATGAACTGTCAACGTGCTCTGCATCGGACTTTTTGCAGGATTGCCTTTTAGACCATGTATCGACAAGCTATTTAAGGAGGAAAAAGCTAGTGCAGTTGATACAAAAATAAAATGTAAGTAAAAACATTTAGTTCATAACATAAATCTAGTATTTTCCTGCTTGATCGTCGAGTTTAATATGACCGATGAGAAAACTACTGGAGGTCAGAAAAAGAACCACTTCTTGATCGGAATAGGTTTACTATTACCATGACCATTACTGTGGTAATGGTAATGGAATTTCCATGGTAATAGAACATATTCCCACAGAAGGGAAAGATAAAAAATAAACACGGGCATAAGGCACAAAATAAAAAAAATGTAGGATCATGGACTAGCCTGAACGTTATATAACGTTTGGCTGTATTATATACACTAAAGTGATATACGATACCATTTATAATAAAGAGATGGTATAATTATGAACTGGAATCTAAAAAGTATTCGTTACCACTACCATTACCATTACCAGGAATTAAAATTCTTTTTTTACCATTACCATGGTAATGGTAAGGTAATGGAATTTTGATCTTTTGTAATGTTTTCGTGAGCGTTGTCCAGCAATGAAAATATAGCATTCGTAAAATCAACGCCCAAAACAGTTATCTGAATAAATTTACGTTTGTTTACTGAGCGAAACACAATGTGAATAGAATAATTTACCTTTTGATAAATTAACAAAATCGTTTGCCTCATGTAGACATCCTTCGTTTTGGATGGTAAAACAAACTTTTTACCATCTTCCACACAAACATACTTATTTATATTACATAATATAGTAGAAGCATACTGATCATCATTTTTTTGATATACAGCGGATACTAACCTATACATACAGTGATACTGGATACACAGAACAATTTTAGCTGCAGTTGCGTTCAAATTCAAATATTCCAAATATGCGTCGTTGTTTTTGTTTCTATCGGCTTGATTCTTGAATACTAATAAGACTTTTGGGAACTCACAAATACTCATTTTTAACAGCTGTATTGTATCATCGTCCTTACAATTTGGACATTCTCTATTTCGGTTCGATGAGACTAAGATTTGAGTTATAAAATCACGATCAGTATGAACATCATAACCGTGCAATACAAGGACTTTATGATTGATAAAATTGTTGAAATTAATTTCACAAGTCTGACATGTTGCTTGGAGAACAACTGTCATTTGAACATTTGTGTTGATTATCGGAAGTATAAAATGTTCTATAAATTTCACGAGATGAAAGACACCTGTTTCATTTAAACTAGCAATATGTTTTCGAATACCGATCATCACGGATTGAATTGCATCTTCTTTTACTGTGTTTGGATTCGTTATTTCACGTCGGAGAAGTGTGGATAAATCATCGAGATGGTCGGGAAGTATGATAGTCGGATCTATATATATCATATTTCTTTGCAGTACTTTCACAGTTATCGTTGCTCTCAATACAGAATTTTCTAGTCCGTATATTTTACCCTTGTTTTGCCATACAGCCACTGCCTTCGTATCGCAATAAAACATAACTTCTGGGATTTTCATTTTTATCCGATTTTCCATTGTTTTTGCGTACTGTTGATAATGACCTATTTTTTTATTCGACCATCTTTCGATCAATTCTTTCAGATGCCTTGACCTAGTTGCACCAGCTAACTGAAGCCCAGCTTGCTTTTGAATCGCGATTGTATCGTCACAGAGAAGACCAACAACTAAGTTCAATCTTTTTAATGTCTTTTTGTGCAGTTCCACATTTTGCACGATAGACATACGTTTTTCTGATGTTCCCGTTGTACGTTGAATTTTGGCGATCTCTTGTCTTAACGTTCCAGCTGCAGTAACATTACCAACTGTACGGTATCGATCCAGATCTCCAAGTAATATATTAAAGCCCTGGGCAGATTTGAAGACCCGGGGTCTTCTATTCTGTCCTATCATTCACACGTTTTAGGAGGGTCTTCTATTGTGTCCCTTAGAGAAGTGTTATTTTTTCAGTGTCCTTAGCAGTTAATATCATTTTCAACAATTTTTTGCTTATTATTTCATGTGCAATGGCACTTATTTCATCGTTGCTTTCAATTGTACAATTACCAAACAGACGACAGAAAGGAAAGAAACATATGATGGAAAAAGAGACACGTGCACATATGGGAAAAAGCAAAAAAATTCGAAAAATTCTCAGAAAAACAACTACTTATAAGGGGAGTCTTCTAATCTGTCTTTTGCTTCGCTCTCTCAAGGAGGGTCTTCTATTATGAGGGGGTCTTCTAATCTGTTCAGGGCTTTACTCCACAAATGGACAGTTGGTATGTGCAGTTTGTTGAACCTCAGTATGAATCTCCCGTGCGGATTTAAATTTGTCTCATGCGCTTTTTGATCGCTTTCTTCGTCTTTGATCCTTTTCTGCTTTTTGTAAATACATGCGTATGACTCGATTTGTTGTTACTGTTTTGTGATGTGGCTGATATCAGTTGCTTCCACACAGATCCATAAATTTGGTGCATACCAGTTTTAACATTAGAATCAAATTCATTGAGCATTTCTTCCTCCGAAAACCATGTCTGCACAGTTTGATTCATCTTTTTTATATCATCATCAATCTCTTTTTTGTCGATATCGCCAATACCATATTCGTCAACAACGTTTAACTGTAAATATTTTTCGTCATACGCAATCACATCATCTACATCATCTGCATTCATTTTTTCAAGGTTTCTTACAGCTGCATTTAATTTCTCTTTTGCAGCACGGTGTTGTGCTGTGTCTTCCGGATGAATAAAATAAACGCAAAATAACTGATAGTTCTTCTTTAATTCTTCATAGGTATTTGAATTAAGAACAACAGAGCAATACAACATAATTGATTTGACCTCCTCTTTTTTCAGTTTTGATTTATGGCATAGTATTTTCCAATCTTTCATGATATACGCAGTGCATGCATGCGGAATTGTTTTTTGAATATCAGCATTGGTTCCGTATCCTATTGAAGAGAAAAAGCTATCTTGATTACTATCTGAAGGTCTAACAGAAACGAACTAAAATTTTCTATCTTCCACAATGTTATCTAAGTGAACGACTAACTTCAACCATGTCGAATACGACTTAAGGCAAAGAAAAATAGTTCGTAAAGCATGAAGTAAAGAATAATTTGAGAATCAATAGTGGTTAACGGACAATGACACAGAGTTACGGTGGTGAGTGAAAAAGTAGAGTTGTTTGAATGTTTCAAGCCAAAGTTTAATAGTAAGAGTATCTTGGCTTTCAAATAAAAGAAATGTTAATGGAATAGCAGTCCCGCTCTTGATTGGGTTTGCCATCGTTAACTCGTAGTATAATATTTTCTTCTTTAGATCAAGACACTGGACAACGTTTCCGGTGGCGTTCCATGTAAATTCAGCAGTCTCATCAGTAGCTTGATATTCCATAAGGCCAATCCTGTCGACGTGAGGCAGATAACTGCTAATGGATCGGAGCGTATGCGCTGAATGATTCCGGGAACAGGACCGTGAGGCATGAGTTGTTGCATATACTTTGCTTTTAAATCGAACAGTCTATTAAACACAGTTACTGAACGAAGCGGATTCGTTAAATACTGCAATTTACTGATATACTGCTACACTTTTTCCAGCACCATCTAAATTTTCAGCTTTTAAAATATTCCTTGGAATTTGCGCTAAACGTTTGTGGAATACTAGGGTTGGATTGACTCCTTGTTCAAATGCTTCTTTCAATGCTTGTCGCTCTGGCTTACGAATGTGACGTGCTTTGAACTGCCCTTCATGAATAAGCACACCATTTGTATTGATGAACACGTCACCGTTCATGTGGATATCGACCGTAAACCGAAATGGACAATCCGGATTTTTCATGCCACAATAGCCAATAGTTCGTAATAAATGACCAGCAGAATTTCGTTCAGTAGCAACTGTAAACTTATTTGAATGTGTTTGTAAATTGCAGTACGGATTGTTTGTCTTAACATATTGTATAACAATCCCGTAAAGTCGCGCTTTTTAAAGTCCGATTTATCACCGCCCGGTTCTTTTGCCTGCTTTTCTTGTTGCTTAATAATGTATCTTTCTTTAATAGTTTCTAGATGTGTCGATGATAATTTTAGTTTTTTATATTCTGGAACCGATTTCGAAAATTTATCAGCTACATCTATCCCCAGTAAGTTTGAGATGGCCCCAGAAGTTAGAGTTCTTGACGAGATCGTACGCTTTATTGCATAATCATGTTCATTATCTTTTGGAATATCTTGTCCTTTACGAATAGTTTTTTTTTCTGGAAATAGTTCTTCATCCGTGTCAGCTTCTAAAATAAAGTATGTCTCATACTATCTCTCATTTAAATACTTAGCGATTATATCATCTCTGATGGACTAACCCTTTCGTTGTCTGAGTCGATCGATTCATCGGTGCTGGTTGCATGTGTTCGGTCGTGGAGATGCTGGCTGGATGTGGCATCACCTTCTCATTCAACACTAATCACCCGATTTTGCTTGGCAGTTTTCGCGATAATCGTCGCCCTCTTCGTCCTCGTGCACGATGTTTACTGCCTAATGTTTTTGGATCCATCAGTTTCAAACACGTTAATGGTTGAATTAAATTGTCACTCATGATCTCAATTATTTAGATTTAGAGCTAAGATTCAGTATGTTTATTTATTTTTACTCATTAACCAGAATTTCATCCGCGCAAATTGTGTTGTAGTTATAAAATTTCTTACCTATCCTATTTCTTAGAATAATCAAAATTTCAAATTATTTTACCTATCATAATGTTTACACTGATCAAATTTAATCTTAACTTGATTGTTCGAAATGTGATAAGGTTCGAGGACGAATCTAGCCGGGTCGGGACGTATTTGTAGCGCCGTTCAATCACTTCTTACTATTTTTTGTTTTCTATAAACTAGTTAAATTTAGTTAAATATAAACTAGTCATAAGTTGCATAGAAACTCGAATTTAAAAGACACATTATCTTGAAAATTTTTTAGTAAACAAGTGCAATTCAAGATATAAATATACAGGGTGATGGAGAATTCCGAGCACTGTCAGAATATGGGATTATTTTTGTAAAATTATACTCTAGACTATCTAGCTATGAAAAAACTCCACAGGTTGATATGCGAAACTTTTAACCTGTAAACTAGTTTTCCAGAAATCCTTTGGAGAATGGGCTGAAAGGCATTTTCAAAAATCGGTTTTGCTTCTGGCAATACAGACTAAAGTGGTCTCTTTCCATTGCTGAAAATCGCAGATGAAGATCTAATTCAAAAATCGACGCCGGTCAGTCCATGTAGTTTCTTTTCCTCTTTTAAACAAAAAAAGAACGAACTCTCTATGACAAACCACTATTAAAAAACTTGGAACGCACTTCAGGTGTAACTCTTATATAGAGAAAATGCTGTATTAAACGCTGTATGAAATACTCAATTTTAGGACTTCTAGGAAAATGCCTGTAACATTTTGATGCAAGGTCATACAGAGTTGTGCGAGGTCTTACTTTGATCAGAAACGTTTGCTCTCCAAGTTGTGTGTTCAGAAAAAATTTAGTTGCATAAGTACACAGGAAAAAGCTATTATTTGAAACCCGGTTTTTCAGGGCTCTTAGAAAACTTGCTCAGAATCCCAGAAAAACCAGTTTTGTAACCAAAAGCAACACAGATTCTGGAAGTAGATACTTCCGGCTATCTTTCCAAGTGCGTATCTCAAAACCGATCGTTTGACCGAAAATAACCATTTCTGAGGGAAGAGCCCTTAACCGATAGTGCAGTAACACAATTAATACATGATTTTACCACACAACATCATTCTTTTGTATTTTCTTATGGAGTATTTTTACCTGAATACAATACAACTAGAAATAAAAAATGTTTCAACACTTTGAGAACACATGTATTCTGTTTCGCCTTTTTATCCTCGTACCTGTCTTTTTTTATTTTGTTCATTACTGCACGTTCATGCTAGATAGAGTATTGAGAGCGTTTATAGTATATACTTCGATATGCGACGATGTTTTCTTTCGATTAAATAAATAAAAGTTTGAAATCACACAACCAGGATAGTGTAAAACAAGTGATAGTACGCGAATTAAACAAAATTTATTTAGAAGTTGCCTTTACTTACTTCATGCTTATTTAAACCCCGAACCATTTTAATGCTCGTTTCTAGCCATTGTAACATCTCATTGAGAATACATGTTGGCAGATTACTTAAACCTAAAGCGGAAAAAAAAGAAGAAAAAGAAAAGAAATGAAAAAACTAAAAACTGAAAAATCGTGTTACGTAACCGAGGTTGTATAAGTGTGATCTTCATATTTCCTTCGATTGTTACCATGAAAAAAGTGGGTTTTCATAGTTTTCTAAATACTGCACTGGTACAACAGAAATATATAAGTCAACATTGTTCACTGGAAAAAATAACACTCCGGTTCTCGACTATGAAATATACAAATTAAACGCAACATAACACGAATGTCACACTGACAGTCTAATAAAATTTTCATTTTTGAATGATCTACATTTTACATTCACATTGCTTACGCCAAATTGGAAGTTGAAGATCAGTATCAAATAGTTTCTGTGGGGACAGGATACTTTTATCCAGGAAGGGCGGTTTCCATATACTAATCGGGGTATATCAGACAAATGAGCTATCCAGATTGGGCTGAATTCTATATTCTGATTGAGATATAATCTGTTTCTAGTGAATTTTTATCTTTCGTTCCTATACAGCTTTTTGAGCTCTGTCCAATGGCATAGTCCGTCTTTAACAATACGGCGAGTTTTGGATGATAATCATTTTTACTGCTTTTTTAAATATTTTGTATCCCAGTCAGCGTGTAGGGTATGCGCCCCTTCTGTCGGATGCATATATCGACAAATTGGCAGTCGAAGTCAAGGCGTTTATCACAAGCTTTTTTTAAACGTCTGGCGTTTCAATGTCGATGCGGTATCTCACCTATAATTACAAAACTTTTATAACAACCAATCTATCTTTTAGTAACAACAATGAGAGCAGAGAACTAAAACAAAAGTTTTTTTCAACTTCCTTATCAACAACACACATTTTAGAACGAAAAATGTTAACCTTTCTCTTGCTGCAATATTCTCACATAGATTTGTGCGACGAAAAATAATAATAATAAAAAAACCAACAACAAAGAAGCAAGAAGGCTGCTAGGGATCAGTCATATATTTTGAACTATTAACATGGATGATCTTGCTCAAGTCAGAGCAGATGAGGAAGTATATAACAATTTCAGTACAAATTATAAAAGCGATGCCAAACAAATAAAATTGATAACCGTAGATCCTGGTCATTTTCATGCTGCTCTTATACAGAAATCTATGTTTCCCGACATAGATAATATTGTTCATGTATATGCTCCTCAAGGCAATGAACTCCAAACTCATCTTGCTCTTATAGAACAGTATAATAATCGTGTACAAAACTCAACATGCTGGTATGAAGAATTATATAGTGGAGCTGACTTTATAGACAAAATGTTAGAGGAAAGAAAAGGAAATCTGGTGGTATTGGCAGGAAATAACAGACAAAAAATTGATTACATTAGCAAATCAATTGATGCTGGTCTAAATGTACTAGCTGATAAACCTATGATTATTAATCGTAATGGTTTTCGGAAACTAAAACAAGCTTTTGTTATGGCCGAAAAGAACGACGTACTCTTGTATGATATCATGACAGAACGTTATGAAATCACGAATATTTTGCAAAAAGAGTTCGCACAACTAGATGCTTTGTTTGGTGAGTTGGTAGAAGGCAGCATTGAAGAACCATCGATAACGAAAGAAAGTGTTCATCATTTTTACAAACATGTCTCTGGAAAACCATTAGTAAGGCCCTACTGGTTTTTTGATGTTGAACAGCAGGGAGAAGGAATTGTTGATGTGACTACACATTTGGTTGATTTAGTACAATGGACAAGTTTTCCAGATCAAATTATTGATTATCTTAAAGATATCAAGTTACTTTCTGCTAATCGGTGGCCAACTGTAATTAATTGCGTACAATTTGAACAAATAACCGGACTTGCGACAATTCCTGAACAACTTAACAAATATTTAAATAGCAATGATGAACTTGTTGTTTTTGCTAATGGTGAAATTAATTATATTTTGAATGGTGTGCATGTGAAAGTTTTGGTAGAGTGGAATTTTCGAGCACTTGATGGTGCGGGTGATACACATTATTCGGTTATGCGTGGTAGTAGAGCGAATTTGATTATAAAACAAGGTAAGGAACAAAATTATAAACCAGTACTATATGTGGAAGCTTGTATATACAAACGCATAGCAAATTTTGAGCAAACGCTGAACGACGCAGCACGACAAATAGCAAAACAATATCAAGGCATTTCTGTCACAAAAGAAAGTGATGGTTTGTATAAAATAAATATACCTGATAATTTGGTTACAAGTCATGAAGAACATTTCGCACAAGTTGTAAACAAATATTTATCATTTATTAAAGCAAAGAAAATGCCAGGTTGGGAGATTCCTAATATACTTGCTAAATATTATGTTACAACTCGAGCCCTTGAAATGGCCACGACAACAAATTCATACTAATCCAATGCTCTTCGCCTTATGAGTATTCGAACAATTTGCATTTAAGTCTTATTTCTTCTTAAAACTAAATTTTACTTGTCCTTTCATAATTTATCACACGCTGGTCCTATTATTCAAAAATCATTATTGAATTATTAGTATGTTTACCCTACTCGCAGTATGCTGAATACGAATATTTATTCCAACTGAAAACCACTTGTTTTGAAGAGAATTCACAGTTCTATGTTATCTATGATAACATAGAACATTATAGTATTCTAATGTTCAAGCAATCTGCCATAAATCATATATGGTTAGAACGTCTATTGTGCTGACTAGACGTTATAAGGTCAAAAAAATATAGTATAGACATATATCCTCCCTGGAAAGATTAAGCTTTACGTCGTGCTTATAAGTTTATTGTAAGTACATAAATACATTTCAGAAAAATAATTATATATTCTGGTAGCGCTTGAAATTCTCTGTTAGCCTCTACTGTTCCCGCCTGTATTCGAAATTATTTGCTAGCGAAAGTTTTGAATACTGTTAATGCGGCCGCCTATAACATTCTCAGCAATTGCATTTTATGCTCCTTCAACTAAGTCTGGCATAGATTTTTGAGAATTTGGATGATAATGTATAATGATTCATTCACGCCCATGCTCTCATTAGCTCTAAAATGAAGCCCTACAACTGAATTTATTTTAACGAATGCTCATCTCCGTAAGCCCTATCAGTAATAATGTGTTTGTTTTTCATTTGAAAGAGCACGTCAAACGGTACAAAAAGAAATGCAAATATTTAGGACTGAAAGTTTAAAGAAGACTGAGAAAATTTTTAAATTTTAACATAAAGAATGTGAATGTCTTGTTCGCGAAGTGTGCGATTGAGCATTCGGTACACAAATGATTCACACGTTTATCACCAGATCGATGTTGAAGGTGAACTTTTGAATTCATTTACTATTTCGATATAGCTGAAGGTTTCCTATATTTTCATATAAGTCTGAACATTTTTTTTAAACCTCTGATGAAATGGTATTAAAATAAAGTCTTAATGTTGATACTAAGTCAATTGTTGCTGATCTGTTCGTTGCATTATATGTTTTAATTCCTTCTATTTCTTTTCTGTTTCGTTAATTGAATGTTTATGATAATTGAGAACAGCGTGAATTTTAGAAATATAACTTTTATTCATTAGAATACTCAGTGGCGCTCCAGACGTTGGAATGCCAATATTAGTGCATGATGCGTTGCTTTAAGCATATCATTTTTTAATTCATTTGGTAAATGATGCAATGAGCTTCAGATTATTGTTTCAAGAGATTCTGCATCATTAATTAACCATGCACGCACGTATCAACTTATTATTGTTTATCGTTTTACTTCGAATTTGCTTTCTCGCAATGAACTAATGTTTGATCGTACAAATTCGGATTTACATACATTATTTGCGATACCTTGAACACTTGCTTGTACTATTATGTATGAAATTCATAGTAGGGATATTTTGATTGACTCGCCTCAGTTACGTACTGCTTTAATTCCATACCGTCAGTACAAATTTTATTATCATATGTGCATACCGTGGGTATGTTAATATTCTTTAGATTACTTTGATCTGCTTCAACTCGAACAAATGCTTGTGAATGCATATTTGGTAAAAATTGTTCTTGTTTTGATATTTCACCTAATTTAATCATAAGATCGTCTCCAGCATTTGAAAAAGATGAACAAAATTTTGCGTCATATTGACTCTCGGCAGAACTTTCTCATTGAACTACAATTCCTTCAAATGCAATTGTATTGACCACAAAACTAATAAGTTTTGTGTTGTTGCATGCTATTAAGAAGAGTGAAGAAAAGTGAGTGTGTAGAGCTTCCTTTTATTAGTGTAGAGCTGTCTTTTGTTTATTTTGGTATATATAGTGAATATTTTCTTCAGTGAATAAGGAGTGTTAAAGTGAAAGATGAACCGTCTGTGCTCACGATTTTAATAATTCAAATGTGATGCTGTTGCTATACATTTGATAACCAAAAAATGGCATATGGTTTCATAACTATAAGCATGCATAGTTTCTTTGTTATATACTTTTGCTTGTTTGGTATAAGTCCATCTTATATGTACAGATGAATGTGTTGTACTAACAGGACGTCCTGCTTAAATCATAAATTCACTACAAATTTAACAATGTAACAATTTTCAGCATAGTGTGAAACAACGGATTTTCATCTAGAACAATGGCTGATATTTTAGTTACTTTAGTGCACCCTCCCTTTTACAGATTCCTCGGTTAATCTGACTAATACATATTCCATCACAATATAGTAAATATGCCAATCATAGTAATAATTAAAGTTGTTACTTTACAAACAAGTAGCGTTCATCATTCTGATTCACTTATCCCTTGACTAGAAAGGAATTGCCGGTATCAAATTATTTTTACAGAATGAAATAATTATCTTTCTTATTCACATTACATTCTGAAGAACATTCTCAACAAGCAGCAGCAGCCTAGTACTACGACAGTCTGACGACCATCGTTGTTCTTACAAGGCAAGAGATAAATGCGACACATTCCCAATTCTTAAATTCTTATTTCTAATCACTCTCGTATTCGTGTATGTTTGTCTGCCCACTAATAACTTGTGTCTACGCACTAACACAGTGGGAGAACTATCTAAAATACGCTGTGAATTTTTCTCTGATTTGATGTGTAAGCATCCTAATATAATGTAAAGCTAAAAGGTTTTTACAAGACCCTCCAAATATCCCAAGATGTCTAGTACTATTTCTAAATTGAAGACAATGCTCACGCCTTCCTTCGGTCGGCGTTCGCAACCAGGGTACATGAGGAACATTGTGAACTTCTCTCATAGCGCACCATCTAATATCAAGGTAAAACGTTTTCTGGTCAACAACAAATTGACAAATTTGAGGTTCAGCTATTTTCAAAACGTGCTATCCCCTTCGAATTCTTCTTCTCCTCTGGTGATCTAGCAGCAACCGGTTAAGGAAGTAACGTTCCATAAACATCTCTGACTATTTTTTACATCTAATCTCGCTTGGAATTCCCATGTGGACTCTGTTATTGGCAATTCATAACTCTATATGTTTGGTTAGGTGTATTCTTAATTGTGCTGCGCATAATTGTGTATAAATCTTTTGTCTAATCTGTAGTGAACTACGGACATGAGATCTACTCGTTAACTACACAGAGAAATATCTCAAGCCTCGATAATTGCCAGTATCAACTATGTTTAACTGTGAGTGAAGCTATGAATTATACTTCAAAGATAAAATTGTTCAAGAGTCAGGGCTGGTTACCATTTTCTGATTTGTTCTTTGTCAATAGAATGTGCATGTTTTCTAATTACTAATTGACCTAATCAGGACACCTAATCAATACATTAAGTTTGCTGAACCAAAGAACATGAAGTATCTTTTATTAATTATTAGTTTTAATATTTTTACCGCAACTGTATGATTACAGAGGCAAGAGTGCTTTTATCCAGAATTCTTTCTTTCCAACTGCTGTTAGAGATTGGACTGAGTTCCTTTCGCCGAGGCCCGACTTTCAAAATAAATTAATATCTGGTAAATTCCGTACGGAAATTAAAAACCACTTGTTACTCCTTGCAAATAAATTACCCTGTCTACTGAATCGGAGAAGTGACGCGCTGTTTTGTATGTTTCGTATAAACAGACATTTCCTTTTGTTTATGACTGTGTAAGTGACTTGGTTTCGGATACTAAACGTTTTTAACTGACGGTCTGACGAGGGAACCTCCCGAGGTGATAAATCGCTTTTTGATCAACATCTAGTGGGTTATAGGTTATCGACCATGTTAGTTCCGAATATGAGCCATGGGGGTTCCCCATAGCTCTTCGAAGATCTAGTCTTCTGGAAAACCAGTTTTTTAGAAACCCCAAAAAATAACTCAAGTCTTTCTTAATAATTCAGAATTGTAGCACGCAAATTTCTGATTAAAATAAAACATCTCCCAGCTCTACACGACCTTTCTTTACAAAGTTATAGAATTTATAAGAAGAGCTCTAAATTGTTCATTGCCAGCTCAAAGCTACAGAAATAAGAAAAAATTAATTTAGGGCTCTTCTTATAAATTCTATAACTTTGCAAAGAAAGGTCGTGTAGAGCTGAAAGTTGTCTCATTTTAATCAGAAATTTGCGTGCTACAATTCTGAATTGTTAAGAAAGACTTGAGTTATTTTTTGGGGTTTCTGAAAAACTGGTTTTCCAGAAGACTAGATCTTCGAAGAGTTATGGGGAGGTC